CACACACACACTAGAACAGAGACCAGGCTGATTTCCGGAAAGGCTGCGGCACTGCATGTTTTTTTGGATTTTTCAAGAGCAGGGCCATGAATGGCGTCAGGGCTTGTTGTTCTCCGTTTTGGACTTCAAACGAACGTTTGGTTGTGTTGAACAAATATTTGTGGCGTTCGCTTGCGGGTTAAGGAGCGCTCCTGCTGGACACAATCTATGTTTAATGTACACATTCATATTTACTGACATACTTGTGTTTATTGTTTCCCCAGGCGCTGAATCCAGGGCAAACAGCCAGAGTACGGACGGACCGCATGATGCATGAGTAATCCCTATGACATTCACTCTTTTGATTAGTTCTCTCATCGAAGCCGTTGTGAGGAAAATTACAGAGACAGCAGTGGTTGACAAACGGTTGGGGCTTGAAGATGGGTTCGCAGAGCTCACGCACCTAACCATTTTCCGCTTCGGTGTCGACATCCCTCTTGCCGCAACTGGTGTCGACATCCACCTTGCCGCAACCAGTTTGCGGCAGCTGGAGGCCATTAGCAAGGATAGTTTGATCGGTGCGGCCGAGGTTGGCCTCGAGCTGCACCCAGATAGTACGATTATTCAGAAAATAGGGCGCGCGAAGATGGCAGGCCGAAAAAGGCAAACGTGCACTAGGATGGCATGTGCATCCAGCTCGCATCTTGCAGCGGCAGTGTAATGATACCTTGGACGGCTAGTGGGCGTTGATCGCTCCCCACGACGTGGACATCGGTAGTCGCATCCGAAACGCGTGACAGTATTTAACGAAGCACAGGGCAGTCTTTGAATGATCGTCAGTACTCGCGAGGCTCCCGGTTCAGGTTGTGTGACTGCGCTGTGGCGACAACGATGCTGTAGGACTCCGCTACCCGGGTTCTTACACGTGGATTCGAGTATGATCTCAGGAAAGCGCAAAAACGTGTGTTGCGGATGATCGTGCGCAAGGCCAGGCGGAACATCTCCCCGATGCGAGGTCTTTTTCGTCATCATCAGCATAGTCTTCATCGCAAGCCGTTTTTCTTTTATCCAGAATGGGAAAGCGGGCTCTGGTACGCACGATAGTGAGAAGGCGAGCGACTGTTTTGAACCCTGGTCTGTGTTTATTCAACGAACGACGTCCGAAGCGGAGGCAAGGGTAACCAACTTGGGGCTTCGTGATTGGGCGGCTGAACACCAAAAAGCTGCAGCCAAGTGGGAACCACAGACGGAGTGGGAGAACCACAGACGGCATCTGAGAGTTCATCATGGGGCGCAGGTCTTGTACACCTGGGACCCAGCCAGCTCTGCGCGCAGGCCGGGGGGGCCCGCGAAAACGCTGGACAGGCAACATTCATAACAACCTGAATTGAGGGCAGAAGCCCTTTCGCGCCGCCCTGCTCAGGGCAGGGTCTCGGACCTGTTGGCTGCGCGCTCGCTTACTCGCTGCCTGCGTGTGCCTTCGGATGATGATGGGAGCTTCTTGGCAGCTTGAATGGGCCATCTCGGAGCCCTTTCTGTGCAATTTTGGAGGCCGTTCGGGCTTTCTTGGCCTCGAGGGAACTTCGGGGACCCTCCTGGTCTTGCGCCACTTGCAGCAGGACATTGGGCACGCTTTACGGTTTCCAGTTTCGAGCGGTGGTTGGTGAGGGTTCGAGAACCTCCACGTCGAAATCGGCATTTTCCAGCGGCGCCAAGTCTGACGTGACTTTTGCTCAAATTGATTCTTGGATCATGCCCACCTTCAGACACCATGCTGACCGCAATTGGGGCTCCAGCGGAAAAAAGCTGCCCAAGGGGATCTCGAAGCAAGCTTGGAAACACCCACATGGTCAGACGGGAGGAGAAGTGGAAAACGGATCAAGCCCCCCCTTCCCCTTCCCTTCAATCGACCCTCCTTCCTCCGGCCATCCCTGCTCCTCCTCCTCCTCCTCCTGATCTCCTCTTTGCTGCTTCCTCTTTCCATCCACTTTCCCGTACATTTGCTCCCTCCCTCTTCGTTTTCCGTTATAGTTACCCCTTCGCACACATCTTCCCCCGCCACATCGCGTCTCCTCGTCGCTCCCCCTCCCTCCTCCCCCTCCCCCTCCCGCTCCCCCTCCTCCGCCTCCTCCCCCCTTCCCTCCTCCCGCTCTTTCCTCGCTCTCCTCCCCCGTCGCGGTCACCGCCGTCGTCGTCGCCTTCGTTTTCGTTGTCGTTGACGTTGTCGCCGTCGATCGTCGTCGTCGTCGTCGCCCTCGCCGCCGCCGTCGCCTCCGTCGCAGTTGCCGCCGCCGCGGCGGGCTGCAGACGCCCCGCCCCCGCCCAGATAAGGCGGGGCAAGTTGAGGGGAAGGAGGAGGACGTAATGGAGGGGAAAGAGGAGGAGGAAGAGGAGGAGGAGGAGGCGGACCAGTGTAAAATCAATAGTCGCCAACGATATTGGAATTAACCCTCCCTCCAAGCTCCCTCTTCATAGGCCCCCACAACGGTTCATTTCCATTGAGGGAACTGCCTCGTTCGAAGACAACCGCTTGAAGATACTGAAGCATGACAAAACATGGTTCTCGGGATGTCAACGCCACGTATCAGCCTGATTGCTGCGTCCGAATCGCGCCAGAGCACCGTTTTGGGGGCTTCAACACCGCGAATCAACATAACTGTTGCGCCCGCATACTCCTGAATCCTTCCAAAACACTACTTCCGGTACGTTGATCATGGGAACCCGTAAAATTCTTGCAAACTTTGAGAACGAATGTGCGCGGCGCTAAAGGCGAGAGACACATTTTGGAAAGGAACAGCTTTCAATCAGTGTTTTTGGGGCAAATGTTGAGACATAATGTGCGCGGCGCTAAGGCGAGAACCACATTTTGAAAACGACCCGCCCTCAATCCGTGGAGCTCTTGCAAATGTTTTAAACGAATGTGCGCGGCGCTTAGGCGAGTGCCACATTTTGAAAACCACCCGCCTCCAATCCGTGAAGCTCGTGCAAATTTTGAGAACGAATGTGCGCGGCGCTTCGGCGGGAACCACATTTTGAAAACGACCCGCCTTGAATCCGTGAAACTTTTGCAAATGTTTTAAACGAATGTGCGCGGCGCTAAGGCGAGTGCCACATTTTGAAAACGACCCGCCTTCAATCCGTGAAACTCTTGCAACATGTTTAGAACGAATGTGCGCGGCGCTAAGACGAGAGCCACGTTTTGAAGACCACCCGCCTTCCATCTCTTAAACTGTGGTCACCTGTTAAGCTTCAGAGTCATATATGGTGAGGCAGTCTCAGGCGAAACGCCCGGCCCGCCCTAAAAACTGGCCTCGGGGTGCGACAGGGAGGAGTTGTGTAGAAGGAGAAGGAATGGAAGAAGAAGAGGAATAGACATGTAAACCCAAGAGTCATCAACGATGTAGGAATTAACCTTCCCTCCACGCTCCATCTTCATAGGCCCCCACAACGGTTCATTTCCATTGACGGAGCTGCCTCGTTGGAAGACAACCGTTTGAAGATCCTGAAGCACGACAAAACATGGTTCTCGGGATTTCAACGCCACGTATCAACCTGACTGCTGCGTTTTGGCGATCCGGAAACGTGCCAGAAAACACTTTTTGGAATTTCAGCACAGCGAAGCAACATAACTGTTGCACCCGCATAATCCTGAATCCATATTTTTTTTTGGTACGTTGATCCTGGGAATCCGTAAAAATGCTGCAAAGTTTGAGAACGAATGTGCGGCGCGACGCTGGGGCGAGAGCCACATTTTGAAAACGACCCGCCCTCAATTCGTGGAGCTCTTGCAAATTTTGAAAACGAATGCGCGCGGCGCTAAGGCGAGGGCCGCATATTGAAAACGACCCGCCTTCAATCCGTGAAGCTCTGGCAGTTTTTACGTAATAGCGAAGACTGATAGGTTTCTAATAGGGTCAAAAGAGAGCATCATGACGCCCCAGGGGGGTCTGGGCGCGATCCGGGAGGGTGCCAGGGATTTTTTTTAAACGAACAGTTACACACTTCGTTGTCTTCGAGGTCCCAGAACTCCATTACCGGGCCACATTCTGAATGCCCGGAGCCAACTGTAGGCCACTTCGTGCTCTTCGAGTTCCCAGAACTGCATTCCTGGGCAACATTTCGAATGCCCGGAGCCAACTGTAGGCCACTTCGTGTTCTTCGAGTTCCCATAATTCCATTCCCTGGCCACATTTTGAATGCCCAGAGCCAGCTGTAGGCCACTTCGTGCTCTTCGAGTTCCCAGAACTTCATCCCCGGGCCGCATTTTCAATGCCCGGAGCCAACTGTAGGAGGAGCAGGGGCAAGAGCACGAGGAGGAGGAGGACGAGCAAAACGAGGAGGACGAGGACGAGCACGAGGAGCAGGAGGAGCAGGAGCAGGAGAAGGAGGACGAGCAGGAGGAGGAGGACGAGGACTCCTACATGCGAGGACGAGCAGAAGGACGAGCGACTGCGAGGACACCAGAATTCTACACCAGGACTCCTACATGAATCTCAAGGGCAATGCTTCCAGATATGCTTCTACACATCGCTGTTAGGTTGCTTTGCCGGGATAATTCTTAACGAATGTGCGCGGCGGTACGGCGAGAGCCACATTTTGAAAACAACCCACCCACGGCGAGAGCCACATTTTGAACACCACCCACCATCCATCTGTGAAGCTGTTGTCACTTGTTAAGCTTCAGAGTCATAAATGGTGAGGCAGTCTCAGGCGAAACGCCCTGCCCGCCCAAAAAATTGGCCAGGGGGGGGACTTGGAGGAGTTATTTATAAGGAAAAGAATGGAAGAGGAGGAGGAGGAGGAGGAGGAGGAGGAACGGGAGGAGCAGGAGGAGGAAGAGGAGGAGGAGGAGAAGGAGGAGGAAGAGATGCGAGGCGACCCGTCGTCGTCGTCGTTGTTGTCGCCGTCGCCGTCGCCGTCGCCGTCGCCTTCGTCGTCGTCGTCGTCGTCGCCGCCGCCGTTGTCGTCGCCGCCGCCGCCGCGAAGAAGAAGAAGAAGAAGAAGAAGACGGAGAAGCCGAGGCGGCACATGGCCGCGCTGGCGCCGCCGCCCGGCCGGGAGGCCGCCGCCGCGGGCACGGCGGGCGGCGGGCTGGCCGAGGGGCTGGCGACGACCCAGCCCCGCGCAGAAGGGGGGACAGGCTCGAGGCTGGTGATCTCGTCCCAGGGCGCGCGCCCGCTCTGGGGTCGCCGCAGAAGTTGGTCTCCTCCTACTCCTTCGCCTCCTCGTCCCACTCCTCCTCCTCTTCCTCCTCCTCCTTCTCCTCCTCCTGGTATGGGGAGTTCGAGTACGGGGTCTCAGTAATCATCGGCCACGCGCAGAAAGGGGTAGGGGGGAAGGAGGAAGGCTTCTTAGAACCACCCCTGCTTGTCAGAATCTAGGCCTCATAGATGGGATCGGAGTAGATGGGGTCGGATGGAAGATCGCGCCGCATCGCCGATGCGTCGACGATGCAGCTCGATGCGGAGCCCGATTTTCTCCACGCCGACGTCGCCGATGCGCCGCCGACGTCGACGATGCATCTCCGGTACATCACTGATGCAGCGCCAATGCAGCGCCAATGCAGCGCCTGTGCATCGGCGATGCGGCGCGATCCTTCGACCCCATCTAGGAGGCCTCTAAAGATCGTCCACGCGCAGAAGGGGGTAGGGGGAAGGGGGAAGGCTTCTTAGAACCACCCATGCTTCTTAGAAGGCGCGGGCCGTATCTGCAGATGTCAGGCTGGCGCCTTCCAGGAAGCAGCGTTATTCTAAGAAGCCTTCCCCCCTCCACCTACCCCTTGTGCGCGCCGCAAATAGGGGGGGAACAAACAATGACCTAAACATAAAAACTCGGAAGTCCGCGAGGACTTCTCGGATCTGCGCTGGACCACCCTCCCTGACGCGCGGAGCGCGCTGGGGGCGGCGCCAGAGGCGCCGCCAGGGGGCCACAGCGCCGATTTGATGAATCCGCGCGGACCTCTGAGTTTTATATTTATGTCACTGCTGGATCCCTTAAAGAAGCGCGATGACCATTACCTTGGACATTTAATCACAGAAGCTTCCGCTCGTTTAGCATTTCGTGTGTATCGGCTCGTAGCGTGTAACAGCGCTCAGTAGTGCCAAATAGCGTCCAGGAGCGGCGGTCCGTTCATTCTTTTCGGGCGAAGAGATGCGATGACCACGATCAGGACTCAACGCGGAAAGGTCCGTGACGATTCTGGTCACCGTCCACCTCGGTCATCGTCACTCCGTTGATCGCTCTCGCGCACCGGCGACGCCCGTCACGGACCCATGACCAAGATCGCCGTCGACAGGATCCCAGGGGCGGCGGGCGGCGGGCTGTCGAGGGGCCGGCGTCGACCCGTCCCGTCCTTGCCACTGCGCCAACTGCATACAGCGGATCTCGATCGGTAAGACAAGAAACAGAGAGAGAGAGAGCCCGAGATGGTTCCCGTGATATCCATTCCGTATGTTGCTGCATATCCGACGGATTTTCTTTGGTCGGGAGGTGAGATTTCAAAAACAAGAAAAACATCCAGGCATAATTTTCTCGCGCTTTTTTCGCTCGACGTTTTGGAGTGTTTCATGTGCAGGAGTCCGAACAACGTTTCACGGTAGCCCGTCAGACCAGAGCCATGACTCACTCGGGGGAAGACGCATGATGACCATGGCCAGGATGTCGCGGGACCCTGTCGACGCCGATCTTGGTCCTGGGCGCCGCCGATCCGTTGGGGTGAACCACGAACTGACAACGACCGAGATGGACGGTGGCCGAAGGCGACGCTGACTTTTCTGCGTTCGATCAGGGTCCTCGCTGCCTTTCCTTCCGCTCTCCTCTCGCGGGGGGGGGGTAGGCGCCGCCCTGGGTCGGCCGGCGCCGGCCCTGGGCGGCCGAGGCAGGTTGGCGGTGCAAGGTCGGCCGAGCCTTCGGCGGCCCTCGTCTCGGACGGTGCCGTCGGCTTCTGCATGGCCTTCCTGCCTCGGATGCTCTCCAGCAGCTGCGTCTCGCCGAGGGCGTTCCGGGGGTGCCCGAGATGTCCCGAACGGCCGCCGCAGACCCGAGCTGCGGTCGGGAACCTTTGTGGATGGATAGCGCGTCGCTCCGCCACCCCACCACGCCTCGACGCGACGCGCTTTATGTACACTTCCGGCATACCCGGGCGTGCACGTGCCGAGCTGTTCTCCGAGCTTTTGCCGTCCCGCGGAGCGGAGCGACACGCTATCCTGTCGCAGTGTGTCGCCCGGGCCGCCGTGGCGGCACGCTGGCCAAAGATACCCCACCCTGTGACCCGACGGCTGAGTGGCCTTGGCCCATTTCGATCCGAGCGATCCGAGTCGACGTCGATGTCGGCCAGTTTTAAGTCGGGCATGTTCCTCTACAGGAGGAATATGCAAACATAGCATGATACCAGAGAAAAAACCCAATCAGAATTTTGGGGGGGGGCTATGGGACTTTAGGGCTTTAGGGCTACGGGGCTATAGGGCTATAGGGCGATGTGGCCATAGGGATATAGGGCTAGAAGCCTTTAGGGCTATGGGGCTATAGGGCTACAGGGCTATAGGGCTAAGGGCTATAAGGCTATTCGGGCTATAGGGCTATATACGGCTATAGGGCTTTAGGACCATAGGGCTATAGGGCTATAGGGCTATAGGGCTATAGGGCTATAGGGCTATGGGGCTATGGGGCAATGGGGCTATTGGGCTATAGGGCTATCGGAGGTGAAGGGGTGAGATCGAAGTGGAACGGCGAGCCCCCCACCGGGAAATCGGTTTCGGTTTCGTGTTCGTGCGTGCCGTGCGTGCGAGGCGAAGCTGCGTGGGCGGGCGAGAAAAAGTCTCCTGTGGCTGAGGCGCGGCCGGACCAAATGTTTCTCTTCCGGGGCGCGGGGCCCCGCGGTGTCCCGCCGGTGTCCCGCGGTGTCCTCCTGTGGCTGAGGCGCGGCCGGACCAAATGTTTCTCATCCGGGGCGCGGGGCCCCGCGGTGTCCCCCGGTGTCCCGCGGTGTCCCGCGGTGTCCCGCGGTGTCCCGCCGGTGTCCCGCGGTGTCCCGCGAGGATGATGATGATGATGATGATGATGATGATGATGATGATGATGATGATGATGATGATGATGATGATGATGATGATGATGATGATGATGATGATGATGATGATGATGATGATGATGATGATGATGATGATGATGATGATGAGATGATGATGATGGTGTCCCGATGAAGATGATGATGATGTTGATGATGGTGTCGATGATGATGATAGTGTCCCGATGATGAGGATGATGATGCTCATGATGATTATGTTGATGATGATGACGATGATGGTGTCCCGATGATGATGATGATGATGATGATGATGATGATGATGATGATGATGATGATGATGATGATTCCGATGATGTTGGTGATGATGATGTTGATGGAAATGGTGCCCCGGCGATAATGATGTTGATGATGATGATGATGTTGATGGTGATTATGGTGTCCCGATGATGATGCTGATGATGATGGTGATGATGATGATGGTGATTCTGATGGTGTCCCGATGATGATAATAACGATAATGACGATGTTGATGATGATGTTGCTCATGATGATGATGATGGTGCCCCAATGATGATGATGATGATGATGATGATGATGATGATGATGATGATGATGATGATGATGATGATGTTGTTAATGATGATGATGATGATGTCGATACTGATGCGATGATCATGATGATGATGGTGTCCCGAGGATGATGACGATGTTGATGATAATGTTGATGATGAGAACGATGGTGATCATGATTGTGTCCCGATTATGATGATGATTCTGATGATGCTGCTGATGATGATGACGATGACTGTGTCCCGATGATGATGATGGTGATGATGTTGATGATGAGATGATGATGGTGATGATGATGATATTGTCCCGATGATGATGCTGACGTTGATGATGATGTTTATGATGATGATGATGATGACGGTGCCCTCATGATGATGGCGATGTTGGTGATGTTGTTGATGTTGATGATGTTGATGATGACGATGATGACGTTGATTGTGAGAGCGATTGTGATATCGATAGTGAGATCGATATTGCGACCGAATGTGAGATCGATTGTGTGATCGATTGTGAGATCGATTGTGAGATCAATTGTGAGATCGATCGAATGAGATAGATCGAGTGAGATCGATTGTGAGATCGATCGAGTGAGATCGATCGAGCGAGACCGATAGTGAGATCGATACTGAGATCGATAGTGAGACCGATCGAGTGAGACGTTGGTTCCACCCCCCGAACCTCCTTATCACCCGAAGGGTGGTCGTATAGGTACGGCTATAGGGCTATAGGGTTATAGTGCTATAGGGTTATATGGCGATTGGGCTATTGGGCTATAGGGATATAGGGCCATTGGGCTAGGCACCCCCGGGCACTTCTGGGCCCCCCGGGCCCCCCTGGGCACCCGGGCACCCCCAGGCTCCCCCGGGCACCCCCGGGCATCCGGGCACCCGGCCCCGGCCACCGAAATCGGCCACACACCTGGGCACCCGGGCACCCCCGGGAACCCCCGGGCACCCGGGCACCCAGCCCCGGCCACCGAAATCGGCCGCTCACCTCACCTCAGCTTTATATCCGCTAGGACCCCTACAGAGGCAGGCTCTGATTGGGGAATGAACATAGTATGGGGATGTTTTTTTTTGTTTTCAGTTTTTAGCGATTAGTTGATTACTGTTTCGCCCAAGATCCGCCTGCAGGAGGACATGCCCGACCTGAGACCAGTTCGATCCGGTTCGATTTAGATGTTCCGTCGATCCGATTCGGCCCGATGTTTCCATGGCACGGTTTTGCATCCGGGTGCAGCCGATGCGATTCGATATTCGGCTCCCGTGTCGAGGCGGCCCGATCCGACGCGCATGCTCTTACGTCGGGCACGTCCCTCTACAGGAGGAATATCCAAGAACAGTTTAACATATTGTCTGGGGATCATTTTTTTTTTTTTTTTGAATATTTGTTGAACATGTTTTGACTATTGTTATTTTTCGTCCAAGATCCGCCTGTAGGGGGACACGCCCGACCTAAACAGATTCCCATCCGATCCGGAGTCCCAATTCTCTGTGGGGCGATCCTGCCTCGCCCAGGAGTGGCCTGCGGTGCGCGGCCTCCAGGGGGCGCGGGGGCGGTGAGCCCAAGCACGCAGACCGCTCGTGCCGCACCGCGCGCAGCGATCGGCAGGCCGTGCGCCAGCGGTCGCTCCTGCCCCGGGGTCGCGCCGGCGTGCGGCCGAAGGTGGCGCGTTGCAGAAGGAGCCTCGCCCTCGGCGCAGCTTTGCCTCGGCGGGAAGTCGGCGGAAGGTGGCGGCAGTGCGAGCGAGGCGACACCGTTTCTGGATCCAGAGTCTCCGGATCCCAGGCGTCCAGGTGTCGAACAACTCGAGGCGGCAGTATTTTCTGTTGTTTCCTGCCTCTGGGGCCGTTTTCGGGTTTCGAGACAGTCAATAAGTGGTTCGGAATGAGAATTTGGTCCTTGGGAAAGGGTTGGAACTTCCAGGGGCCCAAGTTGAAAAAGTCAAGAAGACATTGGAAGTCGGAGAGGGGGGATCGCCTTCACACGGCTCCAACGCGTTGGTCGGGCTCAGGGAATCGGAGGGGATTGGCTAACCCTCGTTAGCGCCGACTCCAGCTGCGTCCGCTCCGACCTTTCAGTGCACTGTGTTCGTGGAGCCATAGCTGAGCTCTGCCATCCAGCTTTCTCACGGAATGCTAGCAAAAAGACCGCCAAAGACCAGCAATGGCCACCAAAGACGGCCGATTGCCGCGAAAGGCCACCAATACCGCCGAAAGACCACCGATTGCCGCGGAAGGCGAACGGGTGTAAGTAGCAAGGGGTCCAGGGTCGAACGCGTGAACAGGCCGCCCTCACCCCGCCCTCCTCCCTCTCCGCAGGCGTTGAAGGATCGATGGTCGAGGATCGAACTTCAATCCTCGACTCGAGCTTCGAACTCGATCCTCGATTGTCGAGGATCAAAAACAATAACTACCCAAGAGCTTAGTTCTTTGGTAGTCATTGTTTTTCTTCGTTCTCCAGGGGCATGCAGGACCCCCTCCCCCTCTCCACTGGCGGTCGAGGGTCGAGGTTCGAGGTGGGTCGATGTTTGATCCGTGCTTTTGTCCTTTGTCCGGCCCTCTCCCTTGCGAAGGTGAGGCGCTGGAGTTGGGAGCTGCCTGGATTGGCTCGGTAGTTTGTAGGCACAGTCATAAGTGATCGGCGATTCCCATGAGCACGTGGGAAAAGATACGACATGGAGGGGAAGACGGAAATCCAGAAAATATTGAAACTTATACGGAATCCAGGAATTGCACATGTTTATTTGACTCCCTGGGCCTCTTTCTTTTCTGCGCCTCGGGCGCCGCCCGCCGCAGGAGGTCGCATCAGCCTCTTCCCCCCTTGCGGCAGGTGAGCGCTGTGGAGGCTGGCGTGGGCCCAGAGCAGGAACGGATGGGGGGGCGGGCTCGGGAATCCGCGGGCGACATGTGTGCACCGTACCGCGTTGGCGCCTCTCGCGGCGTCGTCGATCCTCGACCCAGGAGTGGTACGGTGCGCTGTTTTTTCGGCCCTTATGGCGGGAAAAACTATGCGCCGTACCGCGTTGGAGCGGGGCCTGAAGGGAGTCCAGGCATGGAATGGGCGCAGTTCTTGTAGGGCAGGACCGATGGTGGGGCGGACACAACACGGGCCTCCCACATGTTGTGGGTGGGGGAGCGTATTCATATCCACGGCCTCGCGGGCTGGGCCCCCCGCGCTGCGACCCAACGGATATTTTTTGTGTTCGCGGATGCCCTGCGCGAGACGTAGCCATGCGACCGCGTATCCTCGGGATCGCGCCCCGGAATCCAGACCGCGAAGGCGTGGATGTGGATACGGTCGTCAGTCGTGAGAGTGGAGCCGGGGTAGATGGCCCGGACATCCAATGCCTTGACCAAAATCAAGGCGGCGGGTGTTGGTCGATGTTGGTTTCCGGAGGCCCTCGCCAGGCCACAGGACCGTCGAACAACGATTCGGGATGAACAGATGGCCCTTTGGGAGAGGGTCGGGACCTCCAGGGACCACGTCGTGAACGAATCGAGACATCGGATGTCTCGGGGTCGGAGGGCGTCAACTATATACCTTCACCGACCCGGGCCAGGCCCATCCTGGGCCCAGGGTCGGTGTATACGCCTTCCTCGCATAGCCGAGGGGGGGGGGGTATACAACGATCCTGGGCCCAAGATGGGCCTGGTCAGGATCGGTGTAGGTGTACATTTGGCGCCCTCCGAGATCTGGTCCGAGCATCTCGCCGTATCGCCGATACATCGGCGATGCGTCGCGACCAGGAGCGCGATGTCCTCCGTGCCCGCGATTAGGATGCATCGGCGGTGTATCGCCCATGCGGCGCGACCTTTCGACCCCAATTGCTCCGTTCCCATGCGGGAGGCCTTCAAACAGTGGGCGCGAAGGCCAACGGCACTTTCTGCCCTGTTCTGAACAACATTCGCTGTCTGCGCCGCCCTAGACGTTGCCCATTGGGGTGAAGCCGCCCGCCCATCAGCGGCCGCCGTCGGTTTCGGACAACGTCAGGCGTTTGGGTAGCGGGCGAGAGGGGAAGGGTGATGGATGATGGATGATGGATCAGGGAGGGATGCGTGGAGGGGTAGCTGGGGTGATAATTGGTCGCGAGGGCTGAAGGGCGTGGTTGCCTACCTCGGTTACAGCCTATGTGCTGTGACCTGCTCGTCCGCCCCCCTCCTCCAGCCTAGGCCCTCACCCTTACCAATGCCCGTCCTCTTCTCCCCCGTCCTCGTCCTCCGGTTCCCTCCCCGTCACCATTCGCTTTCCCACTCATCCATCCCAGCTTGTATGTTGTGCTGCCTATTCAGCCGTCCTCCCTCATATTCCCTTCTGCTCCCGCTTGCCCTCCGACCTCCTCCTTTCTCTCTTCCTTCCTCCATCTTCCTCCCCCCTCTGCCGTCTTCCCTCGTCTATCCTCCGCGTCCCCCTCCCTCCCTCACCCCTCCTCCGCCTCCTCCCCACTCCTGCTCTACAGCCAAGATGCCGGAAACAAGATCAGTGTTGGGCTCTGGAGGGGCTCTGTAGTTTCTTCGAGGTGCTCCTTGTCTTCGGGGTCGGGGAACCGAGGCTCGCCGTGGCCGAGACTCACCGTGGCCGAAGTTTGCCGGGGCCGGAGCATCCCTGTCGTTCCTTAGTCAGCATTCCCTGCGGCAGCGCGTTGGCTGTGCCTGCTCCCCGTCCCCCGGGGGCTGCCTCGCCTGCCGGAAGGACGTGGCCGCCTACCTCAGACACAGCCTGCTGCCCGTGCTGGGCCCTGCCATCGAACA